TGCAGAGAGTATTATAATTTTGGTCAAAAGTGTGCAAAAGTTAGAATTTTTTATGAGTATTAAGAATGCATCTTATGAATAGTTTTGGCAAAGACCAATATAAACTTTATATTGGTTTATATTGGTCTTTGGTTTTGGAGAATATAATTTACAGAATATTCTGCAAGGGTATATCAACTTCGTCTCCGCCCGAAGTTAGCTTTCCTTTCTTGTTACCAGTGAAATCGGTAGCCCGTAATCCACTTGCCATCCTGGAAATAATTTGATTTATAATGTCTGCTCCACATCGTCATTCTGAGGAGCACTAAAAGTTATGCAACAGCAGACTATACGCCACAGGGTGTTTCACCATTTTTGTTTGTCGCTAACTCCGTTTATTGAACCTCGTCCCCCGAAATGTCGTGGCACCAAGTAGGTGTCAGCTCCTCACCACAACGCGAGTAAATTCCTCCGAAACTATGCTTCTTCCCCATCCTGCCTCATTACTCTCGTTACTGGCTACGCCTTGGCAGTACCCTTCCCTGTGACCATCCTTTTTGTATTTACAATCATAATTCATATATATTAATGTTCTCAATTTGTTTTAAATGACATTACCGCCATTTAGTGCGCGCGTGTGCTGTGCGACGGATCGATTGCCGACGCCTAGCTCTGAAGTCATTATTTTTTCGATGGTGGCAGTGGCTGGTGACAATGGCGTATCCAAGTTTTCGTGTGTGGAGAGGGGTGATTTTGCAGAAGAAATGTTAGTTAACTTAGAGATTTCTGATGGTATCTGTGTGAAAGGAAATTTTAAACTTAGTACTGCTGAGTGGACATGTCCACATTTATGAGTCTTTAGTTAATTATAGGCATAATGGATGCCATTGCTAATTTTTATGTAAGTCTTACGGAATACACCAGCTTTAATTGTAATGATCACTTTAAGCTCATGTGCTTAAGTATTGACACAAGAATTTACAAAGTGTTAATTGAGTTACTACATATCATTTTTATCAGACCAGGTTAACAGCCTTATGTGATTGCCTCTTATCTGATTTGATTTGATTGTCTTGCATTAAATCTTTGCGTTAAAACCAATTACTTTTAAAAATTTTAAGCAATTACTTTTTACTTCTACCACGGTAAAGGCTTTTATAGACTTGCGTGGTTTGCTAAGAGACTTCAAAAATATAAAAAAAAACTTAAAAAAACTAAATGAATAAAATATCAAAAACATTTCTTTAAAAAAATTCGGAATCTCACATATTTTTAGCGCGTAGTTTTCACAAAATATTCGTGGTATCCTTATTTTTTCTATCAGCTTCTTCCCAAAATTCTATTTTAAAGAGTAAACATCGTATTTGATTTTAAAAAAAAACTTTTTTCTTAAAATTAAACAATGTGCAAATATATAAGAAAAATATTTTTAAAATAAGAAATGTGCGTTTCTTTTCTTAAAATTAGTTTAGTAAATTAAATTAGGAATTTTTTTCTTAGCCTAAATAATATTAAAGTAAGGATTTCTTATATGTGACTAAAGCATTAAAATAAGTCATTAACAATAATAACATTGATATTTAATTTTCTATTTAAATATTTATTTTAGATCTATATAAGTAAGACACTAAAGCATTTTTTTAAATCAATGTCCATATTAATAAAATAAAGCACTAAAGCCTTTACATTTTTGCAAATTCCACTTCAACTATTACTGATCACATGTTTTTGGAGGGTAGTTCTTTGATAGCAGGACTTATTTTCCTTTTTAATTATTAATTTTTTATGGTTTTCATTGCTTTTAAAGTCTTAGAAAGGAATCTGAAGTGCTTTATTTTTAAATACATTTATAAAATATTAAAATAATTTATAATTCAGTTTTATTTAATTCCCAGCCTTCCAGCATACGATACATACAATGAAAAACTTACATATAAATAAGAAACAACAAGAGAGAACGCTATAGTCGGGTGCCCCGACTATCAGATACCCGTTACTCAGCTAAAGGGAGTGCGAGGGAGATGGAGATAGAAACTTTGATCACGCATAACTTTTTAACGAATGGTCCGATTTGAAAAATTCTACATTTCGATAGTTATTGATAAACACAATAAAACTGCATTTTTACTTTTCCGAAATATTTAAATTTTTAAAATCGTATATAAGCGATTGTGGGCGTTAAAGGGGGTGTGGCATCTTTTTGAAACAAACTTGCGCTGCGTAGGAACTCCTAGAATCTGCATGCAAAATGCCAATCTTCTAGCTTTTATAGTTTCCGAGATCTCAGCGTTCATACGGACAGACAGACAGACAGACAGAAGGACAGATGGACATGGCTATATCGACTCGGCTAGTGACCCTGATCAAGAATATATATACTTTATAGGGTCGGAAACGCTTCCTTCTAGCGGTTACATACTTTTGCACGAATACAATATACCCTTTTACTCTACGAGTAACGGGTATAAAAATATTTAACAGCAAAGGATTTGAGAAACTTTTATGACAAAATACATAATTTGATACCAGAAATGTTAGATCTTGATGGTGTTTTGTAATAGTATAATTAAATTTGGTTGTACACCCTAGCAGAGCGGACTACAATTTTCTTTAACAGTTTGTAACGCAGGAAGGAGACCCAATTAAGTAACATTTATATATATATTCGAGATCAATATCACTAAGCGAATCGATATGGATATGTTAATCTGTTTTTATACCGCTTCAAAATTCAATTTCAAAACTATTAATATGAAACTTTTCCAATCGTATTTTTGTCAATATGCATAAGCAGGCCAAGTATGAAAGGTATAAAATATGATCAGTCATCTATCTATATCCTCTTTGAAATGAATTCAGGAACATCCCTTGTTTAAAATCGGATGACTACGTTCCAAATCTTTCATATATCTTGGGCAATTAAAAGTTTTTAACATATAACTTTTTTATGGGAACTATAGGTTAACATTTGCTAAAATTGTTTGTTTTCGAATATCTTTGTTTTTGACATAATACCATTTAGTTTGTTCAAAATCGGTTGACTACTTACCGAGCGTTTATATAACGTTAACAAATCTTTCCGATCGTGAACGATCTACCCACAAACTCACTTCGCGCTGCCGAACTTAGCTTCTGTTCTCGTATTTTTAACAATATAAGAACATAACAAATTTTTTAAAGATTTGAATACATAAGTGTCTCCTCTATGGAAAAAAATGTGGTCTAAAGAATTAACCCTTAATTTTCTGTCCCGAAGGTCTGTTCTATTCTTAGTGATCAATTACAAATTCCCCAAGGGCTGTCGGTCGGTTTTAAGTTATCAACCAATTGAGAATGGAACTGATTATTATAAAGTATTTTTAATTAAAAAGTCTAAGTCTAAAATTGATTATGGCACATCTAAAATACCTTAGCCAAAGTTCGAAAATCGTATCAAAAGTTGTGCTGGACTAAGATTAATTCTTTGCAAGCTTAGCAGCTAAGTACAATAGGTAATGAAATTGGTTTCTTTGGAGGACTTTCCACATTTTGTATGTTCGCCGAAGGACTCTGGGCCGTAGTAGTCGCATGGGTTCTCGTCCTTGTCCTCAGACACACACAAATTCAATCACAAGCCCTATGGCACATATACAAATATAAACCCGTAGCCCAAGTATATGTCATGTTTGAGTGGCGGCTATAATACATCCCCCATATTTCTATCTCCTTGTCTCATCTCTAAAACGTCTCAAAAAAGCAGCACTCAAAAAACAGTTTCTCAACTTCATAAAATGTAGTTCCTAGATTTATTTGGAGAATCGAATGAAACACATTTAGAACTATGTTTTCTATTATTTCTAAAATACCCAAGAATCCCAAAAAAAAAAATATAATACTAATTAGGTAAAATAGATGCACCGCAAAGCGCAAGCTGGACTGCTTTACTTTTACCCTACTAATCTCCAGGTCAAGGTTAAACACAACATCAAAAGTTAGATTGATTTATTAATTATATAATATTATATTAATTGTACTTTTGCAATCGTTTTAATAATTTCGGTCTGATATTTGCAATACAATGAAATAACATTTCCAATCTTTAAAAGAATAAATATTCTTGATCGATAGAAACAGCCAAGTTGGTCTAGCCATGTCTATCCGCCCGTGAAAACTTATTTTATTGGTGAGTAGCTGGAATCTGTGGTTTCAAAGTAATTTCCAAATTTTAGATCCGAATAGGATAAAATTTTGTTTTCTATGTACAGTGAAACTTACATTGATGGCATTTGCCACTTGGAAGGCTGCCAAAAACTACACATAAGCTGCAAAGCTCGGACAGAACAAGTGATGTGGATGTCGCAAACGATTTTTAATTAAATTTCTTCCTCTCTTCACCCGAGAGCATAAATTTCAGTGACTTAATTGTCGGTTCCCATTGATAAAATATTAATGTGGAACACACAAACCTAATAAAAAGGTTATTTTTAAGAAAAAAAATCGTTTTTATTTGTGTTTTAAAATTCATAAACAAATGTTCAATAATATTTTATTAGCTAACAAAATAAACTTTTAAAACCACTATAAAGCTTTTTAAACTTTTATTATTTTTTTTTTTGAATGAAACTTTTACGTTATAGAAATGTATAATTTTATATGTTATACCCTTTAACCAAAGATTCAATTGAGTTAATAAAATCTAGTCAAAACAAACCATAATAAACAATAAAAAAAACACTTCTACATAACAATGAGGACATTCTGGTGCTGCATATTAACGATTTGTGTAATTGCTTTTTACGTCGCCTTCAAAACAAATTCTTCAAGTTCTCTATTTAAATTTTTCTCATCGATGAACTTTATGCATTTGCATTATAATTACAATCAAACTTGAAAATGTAATATCCTATAGCTGGTAACTTTCTTTAGCCATACTGACAAAGTCAATATTAACTAATAAGATTTCGTACCGCCAATGCTAAAAAAAAGTTTGTTTACATAGTCTGATTTCTCAGCTTTCTTTATTGTATTAATTTTAAACTTACTTTGTAGTGTGTAATTTATGTTGGATAGCTTGATGTCCTTGTAGTGTATATATCTGAAATTATTAAAAAAATAAATAAAATCAAAAAAATTAGTTCACTTTAACAATTAAAACTGTAGACAATAGAATTGCAGTCCCAATAAGCTGCAAAGGTATATGAACTTGTAATTGCTAATGCTAGATTCCTTTTTTGTTTTGATCTTAATACGAAAGCTTTCTTAAAAATCGACATTCTTTATAGCAACCAATAAACGTCTTCGACTCTATGAAGTAGAATTATTTTTGCTTAACATTACCAGGAGAGTCGGACAGATTGTCTGTTTGTTTGTACGCAAATTAATCTCTCAGTTTTATAGCTAAATGGAAGAAACTTTCCCAAAAGTCATCTTTCCATTGCAGGAAGTGTCTAAGTCGGAACAGGCCGGATGACTATATTATAAGGCTTAAATAAGAACAATCGAAAACTAAATAAAAAACGGGAAAAGAAACAAACTTTGACAAGCCAAAGGTTGTATACCCTTGCGGACGGACAGAAGAACCCCATGACTGAAATTATAATACCTCTGCAAGTTTATACTTTATATGGTAATTTTAAATTTCTTAAGTATGGTTTTAATTTTATGAAAATCTGACGATTATTTCATATAGCTGCCATAGAAAGAATAAAGAATATTTTATTTTCCAGCTGCCAAGGTCTATAAACATCTGTTTTCCGTAGTTTGCTTCCTTCCTTGCTTATTTTTAAAGCAATTTTTAAATAAACGGAAAGCTTGAAAATGTATAAGTATTTTTTCTCGCAAAATTTGTGTTAAATATTTTTCATTCGAACTACTATAAAGTGATAATTGCCCTTAAGTGAAATAGGTTGCCAATTTTCCTGGAAAAAAGTGTGTTAAACATCAAAACAAAATAGCTATCATTTCGCAACTATTTTAGTTAAAGAAATTATGTCGTCATGGTAACTAGCCTTTTAACTAACTTAGAACTATTTTTAGATATTTTCCTGCTTTCCTCGCGCTTTTTTTTTAAATGGTACAACAAATCTCAATTTTATTCAATTCACAAACACACAAAGAAGGAGACGCATATGACATCATTTTGAAAAGAGCTTTAAAATCAAAAAAATCAAAGGTCCGAAGGTTCATGAGTCTGGTGTGAACCGGCAATTTGAACTTAGTTAGTCTTTATGACAATGGCCGTAGCATGCTCTTTGTTTTTGCATTTAACAATTAATCAATGAATTCAGAAAAAGTCAAATATAAAAGCAAAAAAGATTTTGCTTGAATTTAAGTTTAGTGAAGTTGATTTGCTAACTTGATATCAAGTAAATAAAACTTAAACACACACAATTTAAGATTATCGAAAAATTAAAAATAGTCAAAAAATAAAAAACTACAAATTATAAAAAAATACAACAAACAACACTGAATACTAACAACAAACAGATATGTGGCATAAAATAAACATAAATATATAAATCGAAAAAATTTGATTGTGCGCGTGCCCGAGAAACCCATTTTCATACCTTAACACAGAGTGTAAGAATTAAGTCAAAACAAGAAAGGAAAGCTAACTTCGGGCGGAGCCGAAGTTGATATACCCTTGCAGAATACTTTGTAAATTATATTCTCCAAAATTATTCATATGATGCATTCTTAATACTCATAAAAAATCCCAACTTCCTAACTTTAAAAACACCAAAGTTATGACATTTCCAATCGTTCAGTTATATGGCAGCTATAGGATATAGTCGGCCGATCCTTATGAAATTTGGTAGGTCGGATTGGCTGGCCAAATATAACACCCATAGAAAATGCCAACTTCCTAACTTTACAAACACCAAAGTTATGGCATTTCCGATCGTTCAGTTATATGGCAGCTATAGGATATAGTCGGCCGATCCTTATGAAATTCGGCATATCGGATTGATTAGCCAAATATAAAACCCATAGAAAATCCCAACATTCTAACTTTACAAACACCAAAGTTATGGCATTTCCGATCAATCAGTTATATGGAAGCTATAGGATATAGTCGGCCGATCCTTATGAAATTCGGCATGTCGGATTGATTAGCCAAATACAAAACCCATAGAAAATCCCAACTTCCTAACTTTACAAACACCAAAGTTATGGCATTTCCGATCGTTCAGTTATATGGCAGCTATAGGATATAGTCGGCCGATCCTTATGAAATTCGGCATGTCGGATTGATTAGCCAAATACAAAACCCATAGAAAATCCCAACTTCCTAACTTTACAAACACCAAAGTTATGGCATTTCCGATCGTTCAGTTATATGGCAGCTATAGGATATAGTCGGCCGATCCCGGCCGTTCCGACTTATATACTGCGTGCAAAGGAAAGAAGGGTGTGTGCCAAGTTTGAATTCGATATCTTTAAAACTGAGAGACTAGTTCGCGTAGAAACAGACAGACGGACAGACGGACAGACGGACATGGCTATATCAACTCAGGAGGTGATCCTTATCAAGAATATATATACTTTATAGGGTCGGAGATGTCTCCTTCACTGCGTTGCACACTTTTGACCAAAATTATAATACCCTCTGCAAGGGTATAAATATAGTTGCCATAACTTCGGCTTGTATTTCTTTTTCATTCTTCGATCTACATTGGTTCCGACAACAAAATAGATTTTTTTATTTGGACTGTCCTATATTGTCCTTCTATCTATATCTTTCAAAAAGAGAATATGTAGGAGCCAATTTTATGTAATGATCGTAATAGGAAGGGGCATAGCAAATCACTTCAATCACTATATTTATAATTCAACTCATTACATATTTCTTTCCCAAAATTTTTGATTAGTTATTTAAACTTAAAAGTTGTGCAACAAAAAATGTGTATGCTTTGTGGCCAATATTCAAATTACGCTATTTCCAAAGGACGGACAGAAGAGAATAACTTACATTTACAAGGCAAAACGAATTGTTTAAATTTGTGTTGCAAATTGCTTTACCCTGTTAAAATGAAACCGACTATAGATTAGATAACAATTTTTCCAAATTATACTGAGTAAGCGTAGGATGCATATAATAAATACATAGGTTCCTGCCAATTATGTTACCATGTTCTTTAGTAACGTCACCGAACAAAATTCTCTCGGCTGACCCGAAGACTTCCGTTTTAACACTTTTCACGGTAACTTTGCGTATACCCTTTTCCTAGGGGTGGAGCCACACATACACAAAAAGTGAACATTTTCTTTCGTTTCAATTCAATCAAGCATTAAGCATAAGCCGCTGCTCGACCCAACAACTCAACGCATGTCATGCTGACTGTGACATGCCCTCTGGCCATGGGAAAGGTGTTAGAACATCGGACAAGGGGCGCACCTGTCCCGCTCCCGATCCGAATCCTCCGGTTCTCTTCTCGGGCAAAATGCTGCTGGCATTGCCCCTGACTGGGTGACTGACTGTTTTGCGTGCCTCATTGTTAGGGGAAGTAAAGAAAACATTTTGATGTCCTTCGGTTGTCATGACAAAGGGGACTGCCTTAAAAACCCCTTTTCGACATGGACTAGAAAAAACACCATGCCAAAGCGACCAGCAAATAATGGTAAAAGAAAAGGCAACTTAAGTGCATAAAGAAAACTTAATAAATTACGAAAGCAAATAATTATTTTTCCAATAAATAGAACTTTACAGATAAGCTTTTAAAGTACAGGTGTAAGTAAGGTGTTTACATATTTGTGTATGACAGGGAAAATTCACGTTAAGCAACACACAAAGCTTTAAGGTGTTCTCCTGTAAACAGGACCGGTTTATGAGAAGTGAGTTGAAGAAAACTGTTTAGCTGCTGAATGTGGTCCTTAAGCTTGCTTTGAAAGGAAAAAAGTATTCAATAACCATGCAGGTTATTAACATAAGAAGTAATATTAGTTAAAACGTTGCTTGTACTATAATAGTAAATAAGTGTTCTTTTGACAATGCAAATAAAAAACGATAATGTTTTTCAGTGAAAGCCTCGCTTCCAAACCAAATTATTATATTTTCTCCACATACAGGAGATAAAATATGTACACTCCTAATAAAATTAGCACTACATTTTTGAAATTTCAAGAATTCTTATAAAAAGATTTATAGTTTCTCGAATTTTTGTTTAAAGGCAATTATTTCTTAAATAAAAAGAATTCAAGCAAAACTATATTTACGTAATAATGGTACTTGTTTCCGACATTTGAAATATTTGACACTTATTTTCTTAGAATGTTTTAATTTTTCATATGACAATAAAAACATTTAATTAATTTTCAATTAATAGTAAAACCTTAAGTCGTTATAAACATAACTATACTCATAAATACACATGTATAAAGCCTTTTAAATTTTAAAAATTATATTTTAGTCGACCCAACTTCTGTGTTAATTTCCATCCCCCAAAAAACACCTTACTTACGATAAATCTAGCCCAAAGTTATACAACAACAAATTACTGACTGGGGTCCAGGTCAAGAAAAGTATAAATAAGCGAAAGAAAACAAAATGCACAAAAATGTTTTTTTGCGGTTAACCACAAAATTGTAAGCGAATACCCATAAGCAATCCAGGGAAAGGGTCTGTAGCCTGTTAACCCATGTTGGCTACATAGGTAATAAGAATTTTTACAAGTAACCTACACTATTTTCTGATTATTAAGTCTATATTAAAGATTAATAATTGATGCATACAAATTCTACATGCACATTACAAACAAGAGAAAATAGTTTATAGGCCTTTGCAGTTAAACCAAACATGAATTCGTGTGGTTGGTCCGGCCATTTTCGATCTGCAAGATTTTTGAACTTGATCTGCGCGATGAGACAGCTGGAGTGTATATGTTATTCATTTGATTTTGATCAACCCCAAGGAATAGGCCTGAATGAAGTGGAAACTCTTTCAAAATAACCACTTTTAGCTAATGTTACTCGATCTTTCATGAGCACCAAATTAGCAGAACAACTTCCTTCCTATCGACCGTAAATTATTAAAAATAATAGAGTTTAATTTTGTTTTAAATATGAGATGTTCTGCTTAACTGAACTTTAAGTGTTCCAGAATGTTTTTAGCTGGTATTTTGTCGCTCGATTTGTAATTTTTATATTCTGCTAACTTGATATGAAATACAGCGCCAATAATCTTGAACTTTTCCAAAAGCTGTTTAACTAAGAATTTTTCGTTTATTACCGTCAATTTTTCGTGAAAGAATAAAACTGATATCAACTTAGCAGAACATTTCATATCTTTCCCGATTATTTTACTGATAATAACCATAACTGATTATAAACCAATAATACCAATTTAATGCACATCGATTTTTCTTATGCCAGCTAAAGGATAAGGTACACATTTTCGAGCTGTAAACAATTATAAAAAGTAACCTAACTCAAAAGAAAATGTGAATGCAAAAATCTTCTATAGCACAAATTAGTATCAGCATCTAAGGAACAATTTGTTTGTAAGCTAGTGATTCCAAATAATGCTGTAGTACAATGCCCAAACAGTCAAGCAAAAAAACAAGAACTCCATAGAATGATTTTGGGCACTTCCGCTTGAATAAAATTAAATGTGTATAACTGTTTCAGCCATTTATCTTAAAACTAGTAATCTTGCCATTCTTATCAGACCCAAGGCCCTACGCAATCCAACTACTGCAATGAGTTTATTCTTGAGTGTTCCAGGAAATAACTAAATATATTATATTACCATTAATGTTTTAAAGACAGCTTAATGAATTCTTAAAGTTTTCGGGTTTAGTTCTGGTTTTATACCTCGATGACAATTAATCATTAATAATGTATTTTATAATAGATTGTTCATTTTGTAAGCACCTTATTATTTAGCTTTTTTCGACACCCACCGAATTCTATTTTTAAGTGACTTCCACATAAATTAAGTCGTATATTTTCAAGTATTTACTTAGTGACATATATTTGGCCACAAACGAGGATAAAATTTATGGGTTTAAATGATTTTTAATGATCTTTTTTGAAGGAAAACAAAAACCGAACTCATTTTTAATAGGTTAATAAATGTTTTGATAATGCGAAAATTAACAAGCCTTTAAAAAACGAATTAATCAAAAGGAAGAAGAAATTCGAGCTAAGAATGAACATACCACTTATGTGTGTACAAGTTCTTAGAATAGAAAAAGAACAAATTATGATTTCGCGTTGCTACAACTGTGATTATTATTGCTAAGAATCTTATCAAATTTATTGTATATGGTGTGGGCTAGACTCGCATGATTACCGAAGAAAAAAACCCACCAAAAGTGGTAGTTCCATTGAAATAATGACCATGATTTGGATTAATTTCTTTGCTTAAGTAAAAAAAGACAGGCCTAGTCTGATATTTTATAAGTTAAATATAGTATCTAAGTGGAGCACTGTATGTATACAATTTTTGCGCCGATAAAGAGAATCGAGAAACGAATTCCACAAACAAGCGGAAAACGAAAGGAAGCCAAATTAACAGCAATAATAGCGCCTGTTAGACACAATAGACCAGATATGAAATAAACTTTTTCAATTGTACGGAACTATTATCGAACTTACATCGCACACAGCAAGTCAATTTTCGATTTTTGTGCTGCTGATGATGATTTGGATAATTTTCTTTCTTTCGATATGGCTTTGGTTGTTGGTGGCCGCACGAATTTGAAATTTAATTTCTTTAATTTGGCTTTGTGTTTTGTATTTCGTTGATTTTATGTTGGCTTTTCGGGCTGCTCTTTTGGGCGAAAATAAAAGAAATCGCGCTGCTGTTGCTTTTGTTTTGTTATTCCTTTGCTGACCGTTTTCTATGAATGAAAGGGGCATTAAGAAAAAGCAACAACTGCAACAAAAACAAGACGAGGCGTGACGCGAGAGCAGAAAAAACCGAAGCAGTGGGTGAAGTAAAACGAAACGGGTTTGCTTTTCACATTTGTAGCATAGTGCTACAAATGGAGAAAGAGAGATAAGCCGAGAGTGTCCAGTCCAGAATGTAAGCTAAAAAGGAAAAGCTGCGCCGCCTTTTACACTAGCCTACACACTTCGTGTGCGAGGGAGAGGATAGACGGGGCCAGCTGATTTTTGGGCATGCCACATGCAGCGGCAACAACAGCCTCTCGCTCTCTCTCTCTAGCTCTCTCTTGCTTCTCTGCAGCAAAAAGATTTTTTTGTTGTTTATTTAGATGACGCTCGCACACAATTGCACACACTCACTGCACAGCAAACATTTAAATTTGTGTGCTACACTTGTTTTTCAGTAGCCCCGATTTAACGGCGATTTTTTTCCGTCCGGCGATCTTGAATCTGTTTTTGTGAGCAGGCTTTCTCCGCACACAACACACCTTGGTACTCCTTTTTGTTGCCTTGGCTTTTGCGAACAACTCATTTAATTCTCAGCCTTTTTCCGATTGGCACGCGCGTCCGCCACCCGCACACACGCGAAAAAACACAACCGTTTCGTTCGAAGTCTCGAAATCGAAAAAGCATGAAGGCCCTAAAAAAGTCTCTGGCACCTAATATTTCAGCCTTAAGAGAGCGCTTTTTGAGAGCTAAGAGCGATTTAAAGAGACACAAGGCAGCTTATTGCAGCTTGCGATTCTTGGGATTATTTTGAATTTGCAGCGACGGTCACACTGCATAAGACAGTATACTGGTTGGTGAACAAATAAAATTAGGTTGTTTGAAAAATTAAACCGGTCGATATTATCGATAAGACTGAAAATCTCGATTTCACACAATTCCTATTGTTGAAACTACTTTTTCACCTTACACTAGTGCTAATTGCATACAGTTTATTTTACCAAACAATTCATTCAGTCGATTAACTAACCAGAGAATTTTTTTTGATATTTTAATTTAATTGTGCTCGTCCAGATACTTCAGAATATCCTTGGAGATCCCTTTTCTGCTTATATGTTTTATGTTAATTTTAACTGATTGTCAACAAACCCAGCTGATCGACCGTAGCACACTCAGTTCTTATTAACTTTTAAAAATGCTGTCACACTGGAAAGATTAAAGTGTTTCCGGTGGCGAACATGTTTTTCGATTTGAGTACTAGGCTTAACCATTTAAGATGTTTTTAAATTCTGCGTCTATATATTGGTAGTCTTAGTAGTAGTAAATTAGTAGTTTTTACACTCTTACAGTGGTAGTCGTTTAGTTTTTATAAAATTTAAACTGTATTCGTGCAGTAGTAAAAAATAAGTATATCTCTGAGCTTTCCTATAACAGCTACATGTCGTCTGATTTTTAAAAGTGGTATAGGTACAAAAAAAAAGAATATATAATTTTGTTTCCTATGGGAGCTATATGATGTAGACGAACGGTCCGTCCCATTCCGACTTAATAGAAAGAAGTAGTTTAAGGATAGTTTCATCAAAAAGCTTTAAAATGGAGACAGAATTTTGAGTAGAAACGGACAGACGGACGGTCGAACGGACGGATAGAATATACAGTCAGCACAAAATTTATTCGGACACTGTCTATTATCAAGTTTAACAGCTTATTTGCCGGAATTTTCGTAATTTTAGCAGGTTTTTTTTTACTTATCATAGAAACAGTGATTTTCAGAAGACATTACACAAACAAAAATGTAATTTTTTAAATTAGCCTTAAAAATATTAAAAGAAAAGCAAAAAAGTTGCTAAAATGTTGCACAAAAATTATTCGTACATTTCTCATTTATTGTGTTTATTTCTGAGCACAACGGTAATAGGCGATTCTTTTTAAAGTAGTTTAGTTGAAATTACTTCGGAGTAATTTTCGGCGTGCTTTTTTTTTTTGTTTTTTGTTAGTTTTTATGTGTTTTTTTGATACGATTGGTCAAAATAAAAGGAGTTCAAGATTTGTCACTAGATTTTCGAAAACCTATCTTAAATTCATTTTTGGAAAATCGTAGTTATCGCGAAATCGGTCGTATTAATGGAAAATCACCTTCCACAATACATAGTATAATCCAAAAATACTTAAAAACGGAATAATGAGCTTCAAATCACAAGAAAGCTAGAAGGTCTAAGATTCTGTACTCACGTGAGGGACGGAAATTTATGTCTACAGTCCTGAAAAATCCGAAAACAACATCTACAACAATTCAAAAGAATGTAGAGCAAGCGAAAATAAAAAAAGTTTGGGCCAAAACCATCCGAAACTACCTGTACAAGGCTGGTTTACATGGCAGAGTTGCTCGTCGAAAGCAATTATTTTCTGCCATCAACAAAAAAAAGCGTTTGGAGTTTGGAAAACTGCATATAACCACCCGGATTCGTTTTGGGAGAACGTAGTTTTAAGCGACAAATCCAAATTTTACATATTTGGACACTATGGGCCCTCGAAAGTGTGGAGGAAACCAAATGAAGCCATGAATGAGAAGAACTTAATTCCAACTGTTTAGCATGGTGGCGGGAATGTAATGATGTGGGGGTGTGTATCGGTAGAAGAAGTCGGTCAAATGGTCTTTATTGACGACAAAATTAATAAGAATATCTACAAAAACATTTTAAGCGAAAATTTGATTCCAAGTGATATAAAACTTGGTCTAGATCCGAAGACATTGTTGTTTCAACAAGACAACATTCTTCGTCTTTGGTGCAAGAGTGGCTTTTATATCACTGCAAGCAGCTGAAAACACCTCCCCAGTCACCTAATTTAAGTCCCATAGAACATGTTTGAGATATTCTTGAGAAAAGGATTCGGAAGCACGTCATTTCGTCCAGGGAGTCCTTAAAAACTGCATTGATGGCTGAATGGGGTCAAATTAGCGCTAATGAGACAAGCAACTTGGTAAAAAGCATGGGTCGACGCTTACAAGCTGTCATTGATGTTAGTGGAGAACCCACCAAATATTAAAAATATTAAAACATCAAGAAATATGTTTTTTTTTTAATATTATATGAAGTGTCCGAATAATTTCTGTGCGTAAAATTATGACTTTTCAAGTTAATTTAAGAAAATATCTAATTTTACTGTTGAAAGTTCCTTATTTTTTTGTTAAAATATATTCTAAGAATGTTAACCTTCACGATGAAATATAAATTGTTTGTTTTCGTTACGTTTTTGTTGAGTTATTAATGAATCAAAATCAAAATCACGGGTGTCCGAATAAATATTGTGTTGACTGTATTCACTTAATAGGGGCGGATACATCTCCACTGCTAGCCAATTTTTGACAGAAATTAAAATATCCTCTTCAAAGGCATGCAAATATATCTTAAATGTATTTAAATCTACTGTTTTCTGTATGATAGGAGATACTATGTAAAACTTGACGATTCCAAATCAAAAAAAAAATTTCTAGGGAAGTAAGGAAGTATTGACGAACGCATCTTCAACATTCAAAACACCTGATATCTAAATTTGTAAGGAAAAATTATTATATTATGGTGTAAGTAAATACAAAGTTTGGAGTAAATATTTTTGCTTTTTTCACATGTGTCAAAAGTTGAGGCACTACGAGGACTTTGCGGTCCCAAATTTAAAGAACAATTGTTACGCTCCTTTTGAATAAAACAATAAAAATGTGAAAACACAACATTGAATGCTTAAGGGGGTCTTCTAGTCTAGAGGCTCGAATTTCGACCTTTTTTAACAATTAATAAAAAAAAAGCAATAGATATTTTTACCATCCGTGTTTTTATCATTTGTTTATTAAACTTAAAGGAGTACATAAAATAAATTTCAAAAAAAAAAATTAGTTTTCATTGAGTTATTTGTTCTAGAAGAAGAGGGAAAAAAAAGAGGCCGTGTCCGCGTCGCCATGTATCTATGCTTGTAGTTATCTGAAAAACAAGAGAGAACGCTATAGTCGGGTGCCCCGACTATCAGATACCCGTTACTCAGGTAAAGGGAGTGCGAGGGAGATGGAGATAGAAACTTTGATCACGCATAACTTTTTAACGAATGGTCCGATTTGAAAAATTTCTTCTACATTTCGATAGGTATTGATAAACACAATAAAACTGCATTTTTACTTTTCCGAAATATTTAAATTTTTAAAATCGTATCTTAGCGATTGTGGGCGTTAAAGGGGGCGTGGCACCTTTTTGAAACAAACTTGCGCTGCGTAGGAACTCCTAGAATCTGCATGCAAAATGCCAATCTTCTAGCTTTAATAGTTTCCGAGATCTCAGCGTTCATACGGACTACTATTTTTTCCACTTTGTCGAATTTTTAAAAATATTATAAATTTAAAATTTTTATTTTTTGTTGGTTCATGCGATAGCGATATATTTAAAGAGTATTCATGCCAAATTTTAAGTAAATCGACTGATTAGAACTTGAGTTAGAGTGGCGACCGCATCAAAAAAAGTAGTTTCGAGAAAAACGCTAACTAAAACGGCTATAACTTTGAAAATAATTTGAGTTTTGAAAAATCCTTTTAGGGAGATATTTGTGAATATAAAAACTATCGAATTATGAAAAAAAAAAATTTTCGATTTTCACAAATTTGTAGACTAGAAGACCCCCTTAAGTCGAGGGCCACGATTATCAAAAACCCGTTACCATTTTAAAGAACTTCAAAAACAGATGGCGCCACTTGTAATTTTATTGACGCGGTCCCACCGTTTTCTGCGCTTTTGTGTGGGGTCCCAGGGTCGTGGCGGACGTGGGGGAGCAGGGCGCAACTTTTGGGGGTTTCACGCTGGGGGCCGAGTTCGGAAAACTGAGAAATTGGGGAAAAACCGGTAAAGTTCAGTTTGACGGTCTGGCAGCACTGTATTTTACACAAGGGTAACACGCGCGACGGAAAAACTGGTGTATTCGATCACTTTCCACGGAAAACTGATCGCGGCGACCTGCCCCCACCCCCGGCGACAGCATTTTTTTCTCGCGACACACAGATTTCAGGTCCAGGCAGTGAGACCACCTTTGGGTTTTACGCAAATATATGCGCTTTCTGGCCACTTTCGCAAGGCGTTACGGGACTTTCTGCGTTTTCTCCAAGGTGGTCGTACAGTTTTGGCGCCGTTGTTCAAAGTTCTTAAGTTACTATACTTGTGTTTCGTGTTGGTAGAGATTCATAGACCACATATACCGCTTAAAATTATTTATACACTGTCTTTAGAGATTTTTACGGTTTGTGGCCTGCATACGCATTACTAGAATCCAAACCTCTCCAGATCTTATAGATTCCGGAATCCCGAAGTTGATACGGACTATCTATGTATATTGACTCAGCTGTTGAATCTGATCGTATATACATACAAAACTTTATAATGCCGGTAAGGCTTCCTTGATCCGGTTACACACTTTTCAAAGAAAACAGTATACGGGTATAAATAATAACTAATAATTATACGAGTAACGGGTCATTTGGTCATACATTTCGTAACCTATTGTGCGAGATCAGCATAAATTCATTGAAAATTTTGGGAAGCTATGACCTATGTTAAATGTATAATTTACTATCCTGGTGTTTGATTGAGCCCCAAGTTCAAAATACTTTTTTTTTTGTTAATTTTTAATACAATTTACTCTAAGATCTTACCGAAAGTTCTTTCACAAAGATAGACTTTTCATACATTTAAATTTAACACATTTTGCTTAGCCCATTCATGTGGACGCTGTTATTAAAAAAAGGTAAAACATGAAAATCTTCGGTTTGCTATGCTGCTTTGTACATGAAGTAAACTAGACTTGGGCCTGGGGAAGGAACGAAATGAAATGCATGAGGTTAATCGACGACATTCCCAATGGCCCTTGTTACCAACTTAAAGATATTTCGCCCAGTTGAGCTAGAAGTCCCGATTCGGCTCCTGTTTGATGCCTCGTTGCTGCATGTGCGTCAGCAAAGCTTCCTGCCGGTCCAGATACATCAAAAAGTTCTGCTCCATTGCCAGGAACTGTTTCTCCTTGTGCTCGAGCGCGAGTAGGCAGGCGTCGTTCTGCTCCTCGAGCATCTTGTTCTCCTTGCGAAGCCCCTCCACGATGGCCATAGTGATCTGGCCGGTGCGGGGCAGGATGCTGCGCCGTCCGCGTCTTCTCTTGGCCGCTGAGAAAACATTGGTCTCCGGCTGACCGTTAACATGGTTGGCATCCTCTGCGACCGGCAGCTGGTGGTTGGCCGGCGTCAGCGGAGTCCGCCTAATGTCAGCCACATAGTGCGCCAGTTCCGCCTCCGTGGGCTTGTGTTCAGTCTTCACCTGGCGATACGCCACTTGTTCAGGTTCCGCCTTAACCATTGAGAGCACCAGTGGCTGGGCTTCCAGGAAGGCGCTTCCGTCCGGATCGCGCTCGAACTTAACCTGGGCGGACGACGTGAGGCGCAGTGGCGGCAGGGCAGGCAGATCCGCCCGGGCCCTCGAGGCAGTCTCCTCCAGTACATTGAGGGCGTGGCAAAGGTCCGTCGGAGGTCTGGCGGGGTGGAACAAGGAGTCTATGAGCGCATATAGGCGCCAGTCCGGCAGGTAGCCGGCGTCGCTCTCCGCGCGTTTGCGCTCGTTCCTGCGGAGGAGGGAAAGGAAACATTAACCACGGCTTTTGAGACTCCAGCGACTCCCGGCAGCGTACAAATACTTATTGCGGTAGCTGTTGATGCGCCGGCGAACCTCCTGCTTGTTCAGCCGAATGCCGTGCTGCTGCAGGCCGTGCGCAATCTCCCGAAAAATAGGCAGGTTTTCTGTGTAGGAGGGAATGTCGTGCAGGTGCTCGCGCCACAGCCGCACCAGCAGGGCCTCTTCCAAGGAGGTGTAGTAGCGCAATCGCAGGTGCTTCTGGCCGCTCATTTTCCGATTTGCGAAAATCGCCCGGCTATCCAAACATTTTCGTACGTGACCGACTACCAGGCGCCGGAAAAGCCAATAATACCAAAATACATCGCTTCGGAAATGCAGCCAGAAAATCCAATAGCTCGGATGTACAGTTTACACTTAACCAAATTCAGTTAATATGTATGGATTTACGAAAACAGCTGTTCTTCGTTTTGCCTTGCAACTAAATAGCAAAAACAACCTCGGCAATGATTAATTGTATAACTAAATACGTTATTTTGTCTAACTGTGTCCCTGCTCAGGGTATTTAAAAGACTTCCTTAAAGATTGTTACTCTTCTAAAAGTCTATTAACAATTTTATAAGCAAATCTCGGTTGCAAATGACAATATTAAAATCCATATCCTACTGCTTTCTTTTGCCAGCTGTTTTTTATTATTGTTTCTTGTTGTTAGTGATAATTGTTAATTGTCAATACTTAAGCGACAGGCCAAATATCGAATAGAAATACAAAAAATGAGATGGCTGTTCTAAAAAAAACTGAGTTTGGTCCCAAACGCAATGACGCAGTTCAAGTGTAAGCGGGGCTTTAAATTGGGGAAGTAGGTGCTAGTGGAGCACAGCTATATTTAGTTAAAAAAATGCTAATTTTCTGAAAAAACGGCAGCACTGGCGTCATGGCATTCTTTCGGCGTTTTAGAGACGCACGGTCACACACTTCTGTGTATCAGAGCTGTTGTTGATTTTTTGTGCAGAAAACTCTTGGCTTTGCCTTGTGTTCCAACTGACCCACCGCACCGCATTGCATTGTGTAAGTGGAGCGCTGGCCACAGAGTCCCGCAATCGCAGGAGCGCCGAGTCAGGAGAGCACGAGAAGGAGCAGTCGATGGACTACGAGAAGGTGGCGCTGAACGCAGGCGGAAGCGGAGGCAGTACAGCCGGCGGAGGCAGCGGCAGCGGCGCCGAACAGGATCCGGCCATGTGCGGGGGCCAGGAGATGCTCGAGGGCAGGGCCAAGGAGAAGGCGCGACGCTACTGGACGCCCAGCGAGGAGGAGCGCCTGTACGAGATCTGGGGCCGCGACAACTGGCGGCTGACGCGCACCGGCAAGAACACCATTTTCTTCGGCCGTTGGGCCGAGGAGCTGCGTGAGCGGTTCGCCGTGGACGTGAAGCCCGAGGAGATCCAAATGAAGGTGAACCAGACCAGAGCCAAGTTCAGGTGAGTGGTAGACGAGCAAGTTTCCGTGGGGTGCTGACCGTTTCGGACTGTTTTCGCCCACAGGCAGGTGAAGAAGCAGCTGCAAGCAGACCCTTCCAGCTATGCCACGCGCTGGAAGAAGTACGACATCATAAACCGCATCCTGAAGAATCTGCATAGGCCCAAGAACGCAGATCCGCTTCCGCCAGAGGCGCTGCTCAACAATCGCGACATGACGCCGCCCCGGGAAGAGGCGTCCGCGGAGCAAGTGCAGCAGCCTCTTCAGCAGCAGGGTCTGGGACTGGCCGCTGAGCCGCCCGCTACCACCTTTTACAATAGCAACAGCAATCATGGCAGCAGCCACAACAACAACAACAGCGGCGGCATGAGCTTTAGCACGGAGCTGTTTACTGACCAGTACGACGAGGTGGTCAAACAGGAGTACGAGGATGACGAGTACCGCTCGTTGCCCTTCCAGGAGCAGCTGCAACAGTATTCGCCAGCCGAGCCGGCTCAGTTGCTCGAGTTGCAGACGCCACAGCAACAACAACAGCAGTTTCAGCAAAGCTATGAGCCCCAGTTTCAACAGCAGCCGGCTCATTTCACCAACAACACCGGCAACAGCGTCGCGGCCACCTCGACCATTAACCACCAGCCCATCACGGCGGTAGCCTACATAAACAGCAGCAATAACACCATCAGCGTGGCCACCAACGCAAACGGAGGCATGTCGGCGCAGGGGTCGGTTCAAGCTCCAGCTCCAGCTTTAGCTCCGACTCCGGCTGTAGCTCCTGCTCCGGCCACCAATCCCGCTATAGTCGGCGCCTCCCCTGTACCCGTGCCGCGGAAGCGCGGTCGTCCATACGGATCTGTAAATCCCCCGCACGCCGATTCGCTAGAGGCCCTCTACATGGAGGAGGTTCGGCGAAAGAACCAGCTACTCTACGAGCAAACCAAGATTTCCCGCCAGCGCCTGGAGCTGGAGGAGCGTAAGGTCGACCTCATGCAGACCTTCTTTCCCAAGTGTCTCGAGCAGCAGGCGCAGATTCTTAGCCACGTCATGCAGCTCCAGCAGCAGGAGCCGACCCACCAGCAGCATCCGCTTCCTACAGCTCAGCGGCCGCAGTAAAATCTTTTTCGGACTTAAAACCTCAATTTTGGACCGCAGTGCATAAACATTTGTTTCAATTACTGGGTTGATCATTGTGTTAATCAGTAATACACAACCTAATACAAACACATGCAACACTGTTTATAAGATTAAGGATAAGCTTAATTAATAAATAAATACAAAATCAAAAAATGCAATATCAATGGATTGCTTTCAGGCTGTTGTCAGGTTGCAGAAGAGAGTGTGCGGGAGAAAGCTACTTTTTCGAACGATTTGCACACCGAACAAAGGATATTAAGAAAGGAACAATTTAAGTGAAATAGAGCACGAAAAAGGTATATAAATATAAAGGTTTGCATCTTCGATATAAACAATTAACCATTATTTTTGCCGATTTTATTTTCTTTTTTTTCCCTTTTACTTTAAAAAGCTATAATACGAATATTTCATTTAAATAAGTAACAAAGTATAATTAAAAAGATCTAAAACTGTTTTTTAAATCTGAATAACTCACAAAAAAAAAAGAAAACTTGAGTGAACACAGAGACTAACTTTTAGGTATAATTTCATAATTATTTTACATCGAGAAATTATGTCTAGAAATAGTAAAATGACATTTAACAAGAAAGGCAAACCGAAGTTTTTATACCCTTGCGGGTTTTACAAAACGACTACATTTCGATTTATATGCCTATATACTAAAAACAATGAAGCTATGTCGATTTTGCGCTGCATTTGGCCATCGTTTCTATGACAGCTATATGATATTAACGTCCGATTTCAATTTAATTGAAACCGTAACTCCATAATATTTAAATATTACCAAATCCCAAAAAACAACAAAGTTATCATTTTTTAAAATTTTTTTTTTCGATTGTTCCTATAGGAGCTATATGATATAGTCGCCCGATCCGGCTCGTTACGACTTATATACTGACTGCAATAGAAAGACTACTTCTTGGAAACTTTCAAGCAGATAGCTTTAAAACTGAGGGACTAGCTTGCGTAGAAACGGACGAACGGACAGACGGACATGGATAGCTCGACGTTCCAGGTGATGCTGATCAAGAATATATATACTTTATAGTGTCAGAAATGTCTCCCTCACTGCGTTCCAAACTTTCGACTGAAATTATAATACTCTCTGCAAGGGTATAAAACTGAAATCTAAACTCCTACACTCATACATACAAAAATGAACCCTAAAAACACGAAATTTGCTCTATTTTTGTTTTCAATGGCATAGCACCATAAATTCTAGGGTAAATTTTTCTAAAATTAATGGCAAAAGCCCTAAAAATAAGGAAAACTTTTATAAAAACAAGAAAAGGAGAGCTAACTTCTGGCGGAGCCGAATAACAGAATATTCTGTTAATTATATTCTTCAAAATTATTCATATGAATCATTCTTAATACTCATAAAAAATCCCAACTTCCAAACTTTAAAGAGGACGGAAGCTAGCTTCGGCAAGCCGAAGTTTTCCAGACTTTGAATAAGGTATACATAAATAAACTAGATTTGCATAGTATAATGTCAACCGCTTTTATACTGCAGAAATGTCATATAAAAATAGAAAAAAAAGGGAAATTTGCAGCCTTTAACAATTTATAAGATATACCCTTCCGATCGGCAAGCGCTTTTACCCTGATCAAGATCTGCGTAAATAAATAAGACTTGGAAAAATTTATGTCAATAGCGTCAATAGTTCACTGCGTTACAAACTTCTGACCAAAATTATAATACCCTCTGCAAGGGTATAAATTTCCAATCGTTCAGTTATATGGTAGCTATAGGATATAGTCGGCCGATCTTTATGTCGTAGGTCAGATTGATTGGCCAAAAATAAAACCCATAGAAAATTCCAACTTTCTAACTTAACAAACACCAAAGTTATGGCATTTCCGATCAATCAGTTATATGGCAGCTATAGGATATAGTCGGCCGATCCTGGTCGCTCCTACTTATATACTGCGTGCAAAGGAACGAAGTGTGTGTGCAAAGTTTTAATTCGATATCTAGTTCGCGTAGAAACAGACAGAAGGACATGCTTATATCAACTCAGGGCGCGATCCTGATCAAGAATATATATACTTTATAGGGTCGGAGATGTCACCTTCACTGCGTTGCACAGTTTTGACCAAAATTATAATACCCTCTGCAAGGGTATAAAAACAAGAAAGAAAACCTAGCTTCGGGCGGAGCCGCAGTTTATATACCCTTGCAGAATATTCTGTTAAAAAGCTTTCATCTTGCCTTCAAACTTTAACAAATGTTAATAAAAATCAATAAAAAATTAAAACTTCTCTTCGCGTAATCCAACTGTAAGTTAAGCGCTTTTTATACCCTTGCAGAGGGTATTATAATTTTGGTCAAAACTGTGCAACGCAGTAAAGCAGACATCTCCGACCCTATAGTTTATATATTCTTGATCAGCATCACCAGGAGAGTCGATCTAGCCATGTCCGTCAGTCCGCCCGTCTGTCCGTCCGGTTCTACGCAAACTAGTACCTCAGTTTTAAAGCTATCTGCTTGAAACTTTCCCAAAAGTTGGGAGTATATAAGTCGGTAGTATAAAAGTCGGGACGAGCCGGATCGGGCGACTATATCATATAGCTCCCATAAGAACAAAAAAAACAATTCAAAAAATTATAACTTTCTTGTTATACCCTTGCAGAGGGTATTATAATTTTGGTCAAAAGTGTGCAACGCAGTGAAGGAGACATCTCCGACCCTATAAAGTATATATATTCTTGATCAGGATCACCTCCTGAGTTGATATAGCCATGTCCGTCTGTCCGTCTGTCTGTCCGTCTGTCTGTTTCTACGCGAACTAGTCTCTCAGTTTTAAAGATATCGAATTGAAACTTTGCACACACCCTTCTTTCCTTTGCACGCAGTATATAAGTCGGAACGGCCGGGATCGGCCGACTATATCCTATAGCTGCCATATAACTGATTGATCGGAAATGCCATAACTTTCGTGTTTGTAAAGTTAGGAAGTTGGGATTTTCTATGGGTTTTATATTTGGCCAATTAATCCGACCTACCAAATTTCATAAGGATCGGCCGACTATATCCTATAGCTGCCATATAACTGAACGATTGGAAATGCCATAACTTTGGTGTTTTTAAAGTTAGGAAGTTTGGATTTTTTATGAGTACTAAGAATGCATCATATGAATCATTTTGGAGAATATAATTTACAGAGTATTCTGCAAGGGTATATCAACTTCGGCTCCGCCCGAAGTTAGCTTTCCTTTCTTGTTAATTGTTTTTTTGTTCTTTGGGATTTGATCATATTTATATAAGATATTATGATTTTAATTAAATTAAAATCGGACAACCATATCATATAGCTGCCATAGAAAAGATGGTAAATGCAGTTCAAAATCGACATATATCATTGTTTTTAGTAATAGGCATATAAATCGAAATATAGGCGATTTGTATTAACTGCAAGGGTATGTAAACTTCAACTTGCCGAAGTTTGCTTCCTTTCTTGTTTATGGCAATTTTCCTATGTCTTGTGCGGTTTCAAAGTAAAACTTTTGTAAAGCCTATGACAGAAATAATTAATAGTTCTAATTAATTTTATAGCTAAACAAGAGAGAACGCTATAGTCGGGTGCCCCGACTATCAGATACCCGTTACTCAGGTAAAGGGAGTGCGAGGGAGATGGAGATAGAAACTTTGATCACGCATAACTTTTTAACGAATGGTCCGACTTGAAAAAGTTCTTCTACATTTCGATACGTATTGATAAACACAATAAAACTGCATTTTTACTTTTCCGAAATATTTAAATTTTTAAAATCGTATATAAGCGATTGTGGGCGTTAAAGGGGGCGTGGCACCTTTTTGAAACAAACTTGCGCTGCGTAGGAACTCCTAGAATCTGCATGCAAAATGCCAATCTTCTAGCTTTTATAGTTTCCGAGATCTCAGCGTTCATACGGACAGACAGACGGACAGACAGACGGACAGACAGACGGACAGACGGACATGGCTATATCGACTCGGCTAGTGACCCTGATCAAGAATATATATACTTTATAGGGTCGGAAACGCTTCCTTCTAGCTGTTACATACTTTTGCACGAATACAATATACCCTTTTACTCTACGAGTAACGGGTATAAAAACGAGGGCGGAATTCAACTTCGGCAAGCCGTTGTTTTAATACCGTTGCAGACATATAAAAATAGAAAAAAAGGGAAAAGGGATAAAAGCGCTCATTTACAATGATCAAGGTATGCATAAAAAACAAGAGAGAACGCTATAGTCGAGTGCCTCGACTATTAGATACCCGTTACTCAGCTAAACAACTTAATATAAATATGCCTTCTTGTATGTCCAAAGTCATCCGTTAGATGGCGCCATGAAAGGCGGAAATGTAGGCGCTAGCAGGTTTAAGCGTTTAATGGGTTTTTGGGCGTTAGAGTGGGCGTGGCAAACTTTTATTAGGCCAATCGATAGGTATTGACGAAACAAATACATATCAATTAAAATTTTCATAATAGCATCAAAACTGTGGCCACAGCTTGTGGCTTGTGGGCGTCAGAGGGGGCGTGGCACCATTTTGAAACAAATTTGCGCTGCGTAGGAACTCCTAAAATCTACATGCAAAATGCCAATCTTCTAGCTTTTATAGTTTCCGAGATCTCAGCGTTCATACGGACAGACAGACGGACAGACGGACAGACAGACAGACGGACAGACGGACATGGCTAGATCGACTCGGCTAGTGATCCTGAACAAGAATATATATACTTTATAGGGTCGGAAACGCTTCCTTCTACCTGTTAAATACTTTTGCACGAATACAATTTACCATTTTACTCTACGAGTAACGGGTATAAATACTATTTGGAAAGATTTATGTCAAAATATCCTGAAAATCATAAAATTTTAACCGATTTCACCTTATTGTTCCTATGGGAGCTATAGGATATAGACGTCCGATCGCCACGCGCTTTTACCCTGATCAAGGTATGCATAAAAAAATACGATTTGTAAAGATTAATGTCAATAGCTTTTACACTGCGCGAAGTATCATAAATTCTTGCAAGATATATCCAATTGTTCCTATGGGAGCTATAGGATATGACATTCGATCGGGGCGGTTTTTAAACTTGATCTGCGTACACATGTTTTAGGACGACTGTGAAAGTTTCAGATCGCTAACTTTTAAACTGAGCTCGAAAACGGTATTGAAACAGACGGACATGGCTTTATCGACTCCTCTATTGATCCTGATCAAGAATATATATACTTTATGGGTTCGAAAACGTCGGTAAATTATAATACCCTCTGCAAGGGTATAAAAATAGTTTTTTCCTACATTTTTAAATTTTTTTAAAATCCCTTTATGTTAAACTAAAGGCAATAATAATGTAACGATAAACTTTAACTATGCACAGATGTTTAAAGGCGATTGCTTATTTGATGAGTGCTTTCTATTGATTTAACTGAAAATTCCGTAGGGGTTTCGCTCACCCTCCCCAAGTAATGATAATACGATCTTGCTGGAGAGACATAGAATCTGATATACTAAGATTGTGCATGTGTTTGTTTTAGGAGCGGTGTAATGGTCAGGGAATCTGGAAAAGCCACGTCGATCCAAATTGGCAGCTCTCTCCCGCTCTACAACGCTCTCCCACGCTCTTTATCTTTCTATCGGGGCGAACTCTGCCGCAGTCGACGTCCGCGCTAATTACTGTGTGATTGCAATTGATTTCTGATTCCGACTCAGTTGCTTCTCAGCCGCGCCGCTGAGTGTTACGTGCTGTGCGTTTCGCGGTGTGACAAGTGGGAATTTCATTAATTCAGTTTTTGGCGCATTCACTATGCACAACAAATCGCTGCTGATCATCGCACTCTGTCTGTTCTACGTCGCCGGTCTCCGTCCGACGTTGGCGGCGGTAATCGGGCGGGCGGAGGAAGCGGAGGGGAATAAAACAGCGTGGGAGCTGACGGAAGCCCTATATGGTTCTTCAGGGCTCCGGAGTTTCAATGGCACCTGGATAACAGGTTGGTGGCTCATCCGATCGGTTCGATGACCCAGTTACGTTTGTTTTTCTTCATTCCACTGCCTTGTTTTCGGCTGTTATCATTGAGAATCCCCCGCGGGTAGTTATCACCCCGGCAATTAACATTCAGGGAATTTTCATCAGGGAATTTCTACCCGCAGAGCTCATGTTCATCAGCGGGAGCTGTGACCCTTATCAAAGAGCCTATTTACGAATACTTTTCTTATTCTGATTTGTCATTCATTTCCCGGTCATAGCTCTGCACAGACGAGAAATACAATTAACATTCTATAACTCAACCCCAGTGGCGGATCCTCAGGGGGTTTTGGGACTCACGTCGGGTTCCACTAGGGTATAAAAATGATAAAAACTTTTGTATTAAAAAGTCTACATCAAATTAATTTATCTTATTCCCAAAGAACTGATCTCAAATAGTTGTCCATACTTAAAGAAGAGAGATATTTTTCTTGAAAATACATAAAAAAGGAGCAAAACTTACACTATTGGCAACAATTACTGTTAGGTTATCTTCAGTATATGAAATCTAATCTTTAATGAATTACGACCATCAGTTTGTACCTCTATAGCTCGATTAAATTTCGTTTCTTATCTCCGAATTGTGGCTAACTATAATGATGGTGTTTAGATAATGGTTTGAGGGCTTTCCTATTTCTTGTGATTTAAAGTTCGGCAGTTCTAGAATCATTTAAGTCTATAGTTTAATACATTTTTATTTTACCTTTAAAGCTAGGAGAATCATTCGACGGTGCCAGATTTCTCTACTTAACTTTCTAATTACCAAATATGTTCGTTTGCTTTTCGGGCATTATGCCAAATTCAATACAACATCTCACTTCAAACAGCTAAAACTTAAACTTAAGCTTAGTTTTGTAAATATGCCGTGGATCTTTAATAATACTTTAATAACACACTATCATCTGATTCCCTATATTCTTAAAATTTGATTAAACATGCATCAAAGAGGGTTGGTGTTCAATGCCAAGTCTAGGTGTTAATTATAGTTCCTAAAATTTTGTGCCAGAGTGACTTGGTTTTATTCAAACTTTTAAACCTTGTAGATGAGGAGTTCTATTACACCGCCACCGACAGATCCATCCACAAGTTCAACGCTGCCACTAAAACGGACGTGATTTTTCAAAACTCCTCATTTCTGGTAAGATAGTTAGCATACTCAAAAAAGGTTTGGCAACACGACCACCATTTTTTTCAGAACAACTATGTGGGAGCCACCTTTTCGCTCTCGCCAGATAACACGAAGATCCTGATCCGACACAACCTCACGGAGAAGTTTAGACACTCGTACATTGCCCAGTACGACGTGTTCGATATCGAGAGCAACACGACCGTACAAATCCACAATGGCGAAAAGCTGCAGTACTGCGGATGGTCGCCGCAGCGGGATCGTTTGGCTTACGTCTACCTCAACAATGTGTTCATCCACTTCAGCGAGAAAGTGGAGATCGGCATCACGGACGACGGGGTGGACGGAGTGGTATACAATGGAGTGCCCGACTGGGTCTACGAAGAGGAGGTCCTGAGCAGTGGTAGTGCCTTGTGGTGGTCGGCGGACGGCACCAAGCTGGCGGTGGGCTTCTTTGACGACACCGAGGTAGAGACCTTCAACTACTTCCTGTACGGCGACGGGGACACCACTTACTATCAGTATCCCCACGAAGAGCACCTCAAGTACCCCAAATCGGGCTCCAAAAACCCGCTAGTGAGTTTGCGGATTTATGACGTGACCGACAACGATCCAACTATGCAGCGCATCGTGGCGCCCGTTGATGTTGTCGGAAGCGATCACATCCTGCAGAACGTTGTCTGGTCCAATGAGACGCACCTGCTCATCACCTGGATGAATCGGCGTCAGAACCTCGCCTCCATTCAGAGCTGCAGCTACCAAGGCGTCTGCGCGGAGGTGAAGAGGCTGGAGGAGCCGCTCGGCTGGGTGGATCTCAGCACGCCCAAGTGCCTCAGCACCGGCAAGAGTTGCATTTTCGGATACTTTATAGACAACTGGCACCAGGTGTGGAACTTGGACCTGGAGACCGGACTCAACAGTTGGCCGTCGCGAGGTAACTTCACTGTTTTGAACGTCTATGGATACGATGAAGCGAGAGACAAACTGTAAGTTTACGCATTAGGCCCATACCCCGAAATCTGGATTGTTGTATACTAAAAACAGTGTCCTTTCATTCCATTCTTTAGTTACTACCAGGCCACTCAGCCCGGAGATCCCTCTGTGTACCATGTGTTCAGCAACGACGAGTGCCTGAGCTGCACTCAAATCGATGCGGACGGCGTGGCGTGTCGCTCTGCTTCGGCCACCTTTAGCAAGTCCTTTTCCTACTACACGCTCTCATGCAACGGGCCCAATCCGAGCTACACGCGGATCTTCGAGGCCACCACAAAAACGCTTCAGGTCGACTGGGAGCCAAACACAGATTACCGCAAAAAGGTGGAGGCGAAGCTGCGTCCTTCCTATCGTTTTCTGAATGTCACCCTGGCCGATGGCACCAATGGAATAGCCAAACTAGCCCTTCCGCCCAACTTCGATGAGGCAAAGAAGTACCCGCTGATCGTGGTTGTGTACCAGGGACCCAACTCGGTGCGAGTAACCAACGGGTTTACCTTGGGCTACGAGGCGTTTGTCACGACCTCCAGGGAGACGATCTACGCCTATATTGACGGCCGAGGTACGGGCAACAAGGGCAAGGACCTGCTCTTCTCAGTCAACAATGATCTGGGCGATCACGAGGTCGAGGATCAACTATTCGTCACTCGTTGGATGCAACTGAATCTGCCCTACGTGGATGCCGATCGCTGTGGCATTTGGGGATGGAGCTACGGTGGTTACATGACGGCTAAGACCATCGAAAAGGATAACGATCGGATCTTCCAGTGCGGAGTGTCAGTGGCTCCAGTCACTTCATGGCTATACTATGGTTTGTGGCCACTTCATTTAATAGAAATAGTGAATAAACCATTTTCTTTTTATCTAGATACTATTTATACCGAACGTTATATGGGTCTACCAACAGAGGATGATAACTTAGGGAAATACAACGAAAGCAGTGTGTTCCTGAATGTGGAAAACTTCAAAACACATGATTTCCTGTTGATTCACGGATCCGGAGACGACAATGTTCACTACCAGCATTCTCTATTGCTGGCCAAATTGCTGCAAAGACATGATATTCAGTTCGAAGAGCAGGTTGTAGAATTGACCCATTTGCTCCTTGTGCACAATGTTTAATTATTATTTTCATAATTTATAGACTTATACCGATGAGAACCATTCAATCGGCAATGCGCTGCCTCATTTGTATCATACCATCGATGCCTTCTGGATAAACTGCCTTAACCTAGATGTCTACGAAGACTCTGAACAGTAAATCAATCTAGTCAAACACAAGTATTTGAAAATAGTGCTTTTGTATTTTTATATCCAAACTCTGTTAAATGTTTTATAAAAAATAACAAGAAAATAAATAAAATCTTAGGCAAGCCGAAGGTTATATAACCCTGCAGCTATAATAACAAGAAAGGAAAGCTAACTTCGGGCGGAGCCGAAGTTGATATACCCTTGCAGAATACTCTGTAAATTATATTCTCCAAAATTATTCATATGATGCATTCTTAATACTCATAAAAAATCCCAACTTTCTAACTTTAAAAACACAAAAGTTATGGCATTTCCGATCAATCAGTTATATGGCAGCTATAGAATATAGTCGGCCGATCCTTATGAAATTTGGTAGGTCGGATTGATTGGCCAAATATAAAACCCATAGGAAATCCCAGCTTCCTAACTTTACAAACACCAAAGTTATGGCATTTCCGATCAATCAGTTATATGGCAGCTATAGAATATAGTCGGCCGATCCTTATGAAATTTGGTAGGTCGGATTGATTGGCCAAATATAAAACCCATAGGAAATCCCAGCTTCCTAACTTTACAAACACAAAAGTTATGGCATTTCCGATCAATCAGTTATATGGCAGCTATAGGATATAGTCGGCCGATCCTTATGAAATTTGGTAGGTCGGATTGATTGGCCAAATATAAAACCTATAGTAAGTCCCAGCTTTCTAACTTTACAAACACCAAAGTAATGGCATTTCCGATTAATCAGTTATATGGCAGCTATAGGATATAGTCGGCCGATCCCGGCCGTTCCGACTTATATACTGCGTGCAAAGGAAAGAAGGGTGTGTGCAAAGTTTCATTTCGATAGCTTTAAAACTGAGAGACTAATTTGCGTAGAAACAGACAGACGGACAGACATACGGACAGACGGACAGACGGACATGGCTATATCAACTCAGGAGGTGATCCTGATCAAGAATATATATACTTTATATGGTCGGAGATGTCTCCTTCACTGCGTTGCACACTTTTGACCAAAATTATAATACCCTCTGCAAGGGTATAAAAATGTAATGTTGTAAAACGACCACATATCCATTTTTATTTTGATTTCGAATCTTATTCGTATGTTAATATTTATTTTGTGATATTTTTTCTGAGTATATTCGCAAATGTTAAGACACACGGAGATATATATTTTTTTCAGATTGGCTGATCCTCTCCGTTCTGTCAGGTAGTATAACAATTCTGTTATAAACGTTTTATCCAGATAGTTTTAAAGTTAAGCGAAAAAATGAAGGGCTTAGGCACTAAGGGCTTTCTCAAGAATTGAAATCAGTAATTTAATTAAAAACAAGAAAGGAAAGCTAAATTCGGGCGGAGCCGAAGTTGAAATACCCTTGCAGAATATTCTGCAAATTATATTCTCCAAAATTATTCATATGATGCATTCTTAATACTCATAAAAAATCCCAACTTCCTAACTTTAAAAACACCAAAGTTATGGCATTTCCAATCGTCGGCCGATCCTTATGAAATTTGATATGTCGGATTGATTGGGCAAAAATAAAACCCATAGAAAATACCAGCTTCCTAACTTAACAAACACCAAAGTTATGGCATTTCCGATCAATCAGTTATATGGCAGCTATAAGATATAGTCGGCCGATCCTTATGAAATTTGATATGTCGGATTAATTGGCCAAATATAAAACCCATAGAAAGTCCCAACTTCCTAGCTTAACAAACAGCAGAGTTATGGCATTTCCGATCAATCAGTTATATGGCAGCTATAGGATATAGTCGGCCGATCCTTATGAAATTTGGTACGTCGGATTGATTGGCCAAATATAAAACCCATAGAAAGTCCCAACTTCCTAGCTTAACAAACAGCAGAGTTATGGCATTTCCGATCAATCAGTTATATGGCAGCTATAGGATATAGTCGGCCGATCCCGGCCGTTCCGACTTATATACTGCGTGCAAAGAAAAGAAGGGTGTGTGCAAAGTTTGAATTCGATATCTTTAAAACTGAGAGACTAGTTCGCGTAGAAACAGACAGACGGACAGACAGACGGACAGACAGACGGACAGACAGACGGACAGACAGACGGACAGACGGACATGGCTATATCAACTCAGGAGGTGATCCTGATCAAGAATATATATACTTTATAGGGTCGGAGATGTCTCCTTCACTGCGTTGCACACTTTTGACCAAAATTATAATACCCTCTGCAAGGGTATAACAAGAGAGAACGCTATAGTCGGGTGCCCCGACTATCAGATACCCGTTACTCAGGTAAAGGGAGTGCGAGGGAGATGGAGACAGAAACTTTGATCACGCATAACTTTTTAACGAATGGTCCGATTTGAAAAATTTCTTCTACATTTCGATAGGTATTGATAAACACAATAAAACTGCATTTTTACTTTTCCGAAATATTTAAATTTTTAAAATCGTATATAAGCGATTGTGGGCGTGAAAGGGGGCGTGGCACCTTTTTGAAACAAACTTGCGCTGCGTAGGAACTCCTAGAATCTGCATGCAAAATGCCAATCTTCTAGCTTTTATAGTTTCCGAGATCTCAGCGTTCATACGGACAGACAGACAGACAGACAGACAGACGGACAGACGGACATGGCTATATCGACTCGGCTAGTGACCAAGAATATATATACTTTATAGGGTCGGAAACGCTTCCTTCTAGCTGTTACATACTTTTGCACGAATACAATATACCCTTTTACTCTACGAGTAACGGGTATAATTAAGCGAAAAAATGAAGGGTCTAAGCCCTAAGGTCTTACTCAGGAATCGAAATCAGTAATTGATATTATATTCACTTTTGTTTTGATATGGTCAGAGTAAGGCGATTTTTTAATTGAATATTATTGTTGATAAAAAAGATAAAGTCATTAATTTTGGTGGCATTCTTAGCCAATCACCTTGTTTTTTTTATTTATGTTGTGAACCAGAGGCAAAGTGTTGTATACTTTTAGGTTCGGCGGCATATTGTGAGGCGATAAACACAACTACTAAAGATACAAAAAGTCAAAAGCTAATTTTTATACCCTTGCAGAGGGTATTATAATTTCAGTCAAAAGTTTGCAACGCAGTGAAGGAGACATTTCCGACCCTATAAAGTATATATATTCTTGATCAGCATCACCAGGAGAGTCGATCTAGCCATGTCCGTCTGTCCGTCCGTCCGTCCGTCTGTCCGTCCGTCCGTCCGTCTGTCCGTCCGTCCGTCCGTCCGTCCGTCCGTTTCTACGCAAACTAGTCCCTCAGTTTTAAAGCTATCTGCTCGAAACTTTCCCAAAAGTTGTCTTTCTATTGCTGGTAGTATATAAGTCGGAACGAGCCGGATCGGGCGACTATATCATATAGCTGCCATATAACTGAACGATTGGAAATGCCATAACTTTGGTGTTTTTAAAGTTAGGAAGTTGGGATTTTTTAAGAATATAATTTACAGAGTATTCTGCAAGGGTATATCAACTTCGGCTCCGCCCGAAGTTAGCTTTCCTTTCTTGTTGATGATTGTTTTTAAACAAAGAAAAATTAAATTTAAGGATTAATTATAAAATCGCTTGAAAATTTCTGGCACCTCGACAACAATACCGGATTAAAACGAAAGGATGCAAATTTCTCGCCAACCGTACTTATTAAAGAATAAATGACTTGCTAGCCATTATAAAAAACAGTTTTAACAGCGAGAACTTAATAATGAACAAAAAATAACAGACAACGATTCATAAAAATGTTTTCTTATATTTTTAGAGCTTTATTACTCAGACTTCTCTTGTTATTTATATCTGCGCCATGCAGAGCGAGGCCAAAGAAGAACAAAATAAACTCTATAAGGTTAGGGTCAACATCGTTACCAAAATCACATCTTGAAAGGGTATTTAATGAGCCCCAATAAGATTCAGACGTTAAGGAACGTTCTTATGTTTGTGCCAACTGATTAATTTGATTCGGTTTCGGATTTTATATCTCAAAACACTCAGCAGAATATTTTTATATTAGCACTGGTAGCAGTTAAAAGCAAACAAGAGCCCTCAACTAATTTTAGGACACTTAAGCCGGGCCATACCAAAGCAGTGGGAAGGGAGAATAAGGGGGAATGGCTAAGGACCTTCATAGCTGGCGCTAATCGGGGTGTCATTCTGCTTTGGTGGCTGCTAATTCCGGTGGTGGTGTTTGGGTCTCGGATTAAGTGCGCAACTTATTGCGTACTGTGCCGATCCACACGCTCAGTGGAGATGTCATGAAAACGACGCAAACTTTCAAACTCTTGCGATTGGCCAAGCATGAAATTTAATTGTGATTCGACCATAACTTCTACATAATTGTTAATTAATAATTGTTTTTAATTTTTGTTTTGTTGTTTGGGATTTTTCTGTGGAGCTTTAATTAAATATAAATCGGATATCTCATGGGAAAATAAAAAAATTACAAATATAAAAAATGAAACCACAATTTATTTTGCTGTTTTTCTAATTATCAATATTCCTATATCAGAGTTATGATTTTAGTTTTGCCAAATCGGACAACAATATCATATAGCTGCCATAAAAACGGTCGCAAAATGCAGCGCAAAATCCACAAAGCTTCATTGTTTTTAGTTAGATAGTCGTATAAATCGACATGTAGTCGTTTTGTAATAACTGCAAGGGTATATAACTTCGGCTTGCCGAAGCTTGCTCCCTTTCTTGTTCCTCAATAGTAACAGATATGCAAAGCACAAGCGGATAGCACTGAACATCCGAACCATCAGCAAAACTCTCTACCATCTCAAGCTGCACGTTTAGTTTCAACCATCCATCTTGTGTGTCAGTCATTTATTTATATTTATTCTACAGAATAGCACAGGGAAATCAGTCTGAAGGATTTCAATGGCTTGGTTTTGAGAATGCCTTCAGAGGAGGTGTTTGTGCGTAGGTATCAAAAGAAGCAGAACTTCAAGCTTTGTTGGTTTACATTGTGTTTAGGTGCATTGGTGTATAGGGGCAGAGGAAAGTATAACCATGGAATTTCAGATATTCATAAAGATGATAAATCTGCTTATAAATATATTTACTCCTTTGCGGGGTTAACTTTTTATAACCTTGCAAAGGGTATTATAATTTCAGTCAAAAGTTTGCAACGCAGTGAAGC